TCACATATACACTTTTTACTACAGGGAATCAAGGATGTCTCAAACTCCAATTGGCCACATATAAGTCTGCAATCAAAAGTCAGAATATCAATATAAACTCAAACATTTTTCATCAAATTCTTCCAAGACCAAATGAGCTTCCCACATTCATTTTATATCTCTTTTTATCTCCTTAATTTTTGTCAACAGTTGTCTTATTTGCATATGATTTTACTTAAAATAACTTCCCGTGAGTAATTTAAGGAGAAACATTTGAGAAAGCTGAAACCTGAATGAATAACAAAACTGAAAGTCAACGAATTAACCATAAATGAACCTAGGGCTGTGAAACGATTAATCGCGATTCATCGCATCCAAAATAAAAGTTTGTGTTTACATTGTATATGTGTGTGTAGCGTGAATAATTATTTTGTATATATAAACACACACATGCTCGTAAATATTTAAGAAATATTTGCATGCATATACTTTATAAATATTTATACAAAATTAATATTATACATAAATATAAATATTTGATATATTAATAACACATTTTTCTTAAATATATACATAATCATATACACTACACACAGATATATTATGTAAACACAAACTTTTATTTTGGATGCGATTAATTGCGATTAATCGTTTCACAGCCCTAAATGAACATTCGTTAAGTCAGCTGATGGAACAATTTCAAGTCCTCAGGGACATCCCATGTGCTTTCACAGCCAAACACCGGTTCTCAAAGACTTCAGACAGACAGGTCGCAGCCTTCCGTCATAATAACAGTACAAAGACAAACCAGTCAACATAGATTTACATAGTAACCCACTTAACTCACACCTCAAAAATTTCAAGAATTTGATCCTGGATTCCAAGAATCTTCGGAGACGTGCGTTTATCCGCTTGCGAGTCGGGACAGGCTCCGGTGAGGGACGTGTGCAACACAAGCGAGCAGCAGGTAGACCCGTGAGGTCGTGTTTGCACAGCTGAGTAACAGGAATCCCGTACTCAAGCACGTGTTGAACGCAACCCAAGGGCCGTTCAGCAGATGCTGCCACACCCTGTCAAACACACACTCCTCCTCACACTCCTCCGTAAACCCATTACAACCACTTCCTGAAGCTCTTTCTAGTGTCAGGAGTGGGTGGGCACCACATGTGTCTACCAGAAGAGGTTGATTGAGTTCAACTTTCACTGTGAATTCACAATAAATTAGCTTGCTGCCATATCACTATTGTTCATTGTTTTCTTACACTCATAGAAGAAAATGTTCTATATAGAACATTTAAAGGTTCTATCAGCGCTACGTATTAAAGGTTCTATACACTCTTAAAAAAAAGGGTTCCTCTGGGTTCTATATAGAACCGTGGGGTTCCATACTTGGCCAATAGAACCTTTTACCAAAAAAAAAAAAAATGGTTCTATATAGAACCATTTTGGAGTTCCATATATGAAGTGGGGGATGGAACCATTTCTGGTTCTAAATAGAACCAGATTTCTTCTAAGAGTGTAGTTAGGGTTAGGTATTTAAACTAACACTTGATGCTAAGGATTAAACTTTGACACGATTCCTGAGCTTCAGTCATGAATAATACGTCAAATTATTTACTTTTAGACTTTGAGACCAGAATGTCATAGACTTGGTTGGTGGGCATTTTTTTAATTAAACACTCAAAGCGCCCTATAGTACCACCTAGCAACACCTTAGCAACCAGTCAAACACACTAGCAACCACTCAGAGTACCCAAACAACGACCTGAAAATCATCTTGAACACCGTGGTAACTACAAAGAACACTTAAAATCAGTGCGGTCAAATCGATTAATCACATCTAACATTAAAGTTTGTATGTGCACACATATAAACAATTATATAAACTAGGGCTGTCAAACGATTAATCGCGATTAATCGCATCAAAAATAAAAGTTTGTGTTTACATAATTTATGTGGGTGCACTGTGTATAATTATTTTGTATATATATATATATATATATATATATATATATATAAATACACACACATTAAGAAAAAAAATATTATTTATATATAAAATATATATTTATATATATATATAAATCATAGATATACAGTATGTACATGGAAATATTTCTTAAATATATACAAGCATGTGAGTGTATTTATATATATATAAAATATTTATACACAGTGCACCCACATATATGATATATTATGTAAACACAAACTTTTATTTTGGATGCGATTAATCGATTGACAGCCCTAATAAAAACACAAACTTTTGTGTTAGTTTGACAGCACTACTAACTGCTAAAAATATTCAAAACCTTGGTCAAATTGTGTAATTTGTTCCAAACTTATATAATATATAAAATAAGTCTTCATGACTTAACAGTAAAACTTAAGAGTATAGTATTTTACAGAAACAAAATCATGTCAGTGCTTCAAGGAACTACAGAGATCAAAATGGACATTTGTATAATTTTAAACAAATAATGGCAAATGACCAGACAAGAGAGACAGATGTAGAAAGAGAGAGTGCGAGGTTCTGGGTTTGCCTGCAGGATGTTGCCTGTCTGCCTTTCTTCACTTTCCTGCGTTTGAACACACGAGAATAGCCAAGCGTTCCAGTAAATGAATACATGCCCAAACAATGTGCTGGATCCTGTGCGTCAGGACACAAACGCAGAGCACACAGGGCTAACAAAGTCAAGAAGCACTTTATATCGGAGATGCTCTCATTAAATAAGAATTTTAAAGAGAAATTGCCACTGCCATAAATCCAGCTGGAGAACGTGATTCCCTTTAACTTCATTTAGACAGCGTAATTCTCTCAATTACAAAAGCAAACAAACTTCAATCCTGCTAATGAGCCTTTATTTCTGTTCCTCCTGATCGTTTTGCTTTGCACACTTTACACAAAGCAGCAGGCCTTTCTTCTGACCCTGACAGATCTAATGAGCGCCCAACAAATAATCCGTTTCATCCACTAAACTGCAACGGCTTTGGACCAATTAGCTCCCACTGTTACCCACAAGCAAAAACTAAAACTGCTTAAAAGAGAATATTAAACGCAATAACCCCAATGAGAATGCAGGGCACTACTACAGTAAAGACGGATGCTCCGTAACCCCAAACACAGAGGAAATGTTTTCAACTATGAAAGCAAAAATGTATTTTGAGATTTCTCTAAAAAAAAAAAAAAATGAAACCACTGGTACAGTGCAGCTTTTTATATTCTAGGTTAAAAATAAGTGACATCATCTGTAGCATCCAGTAGATGACCACCAACAATACTTCTGATTCATTTTGTAAAAGCAAACAAAAAAATGGCTTCAATCAATTGTACTTTTTCCCCTTAGACTTCCAGATCCTGACAATAGAGTTCGAATTGTATTTGACCCAGATTAATACTTTAAACAACTGGAAGACATAAACAGATCCGAACTACTTCAGGAGGAATCAAACAACTGTTAGACTTTCTATTTTATACTTGAATAAATCGATCCACAAAAATAGCACAGGTTGACAGAAAGTGCCTTTATCTTTGAGGAAATTACAGTACATACACTTTCTTGATTCGAGTTTATTATCAGTGATTGTTGCTTCAATGAGTAAAAAATGAGTAAAAACATGCTATTTTGCTCATGCATGAGTAAGTTTGACTTTGACTATTGTTTTATATTATATTAGCCATTTACTTTGCCAGGGACACAATATACATTTGTTTTAAAACCAAATAATTTAATGGAAAAAACTATATTAAAGCTCAAGCCAGTGATTTTGATAGTGTTTAGGCCAGCAGAGAAGGCCTTGCTGGCCCACCACTGATTAAAAGAGGAGGCGAGATGTCTGTCCCTAAAACACACAGTCATGATGTAAATGAGTCAGTGAATACCTTAAAATTTGAACAACATGCACATCTCAACAACAACAGAGATGAACTTCTTCAGATTCTGTGCTGACTGTATCTAACTCTGAATCCGTGTGTGATCGTATCTATCTTGGACATTTTATTACTGAAAACATGACAGACGACGGGAATATTTAAAAGCAGCGTTTGTATGATGTTTATGCAAGCTAACATACTTTTACGCACGTTTAGTTTAGTTCTTGTTCAGATGAAACTGTTTAAAGCATATTGTACAGTACACCACTTTATACTTCTCATATGTGCTTAAATTATAAAACAGCGAGTTTACAGAGGCTTTAAATAGCTAAAGATGCAATGAGAACCTGTTAAGGAGACCTATTGTGCAAGTGAGATGTATGAGAATGCATGATTGAACACTTTTAAAGCTGTGTTACGAAATCTTATACATAAATGCATGTATCTGCTGGCTAAATGTCTCCAAAAATTATATTATTGTGGGCTTATGAAATATAACTGTCAGACCAAATTGTGGAGACACTGGTATTATTTTATTTTTGCAACCGATTGATTTTCTTTGTTTTTTTGTTTCTTTTTTTTTTTTTAATTTGGACTTTGAGTCTGCAATAAGGTCTGATGATGATGATGATGTTAACCTAGTTCTACTTCTGTCTCTGGTTGTGCCTTTACTGTAAAAGACACCTACGCTCCTGCATGACATTCCTCTCCTCTCCTCCGCGTGCTCACTTTGCAGATCTGCATTGGTGGAAGTGAATAGTGAGTCCCAAAGAGCCTTTCCGAAAACTCCCGTCTCATTCCTTGCCCACAGCTTGTTCCACTAACCCACATTACGAAGAAACCTAGCCTACAGATCACTCGGGATCCCAACACAACCAACGCGCTCCATCATCACCCGAGATCCTCTGTTGATCATGAGCATTATTGACCATGCATGAATAAAGATTAAAAGCAAGAGAAAGAAAAAAACAATCTCAAGTGCTTGCTGCATGCGAGTATTTATGGGTGTGTAGCTATCAAACGCACCGGAGCGCACAGTTCCTTTACGCGCTCCAGCGTAGCTTACTGAAAAACAACATTCCTACACATGTACCAAATTTAACAGTACCGTTAAAGCCGTTAGATTCAGATTAAATACCCCTCTTACCGTAAAGTCCAACACGAAGGCAGTTTGTTCAAGCGCACGGGTGATTATGATCCGGGAATGGGGGAGCGCAGGACGCGCCGGGCGGCTGGGTGAAAGCTGACTGCTGCTGCTTGAGAAAACAGGAGGATTTGTGTTGATCTGCAGATTTACTCCTCTGTCAGGGGTTCACCCGCTTCTCAGGAGTTCTCCGTGTGCTCAGAGCCGCCTAGCGACCAAATCAAATGTGCCTCAGCCTGACAATCAAATGCTGGGGTTTTCTTATGGCAGATATGTGTTCTTCCTCTAGGGGGCGCGCAGTGGCTCAAAATGCTGAATTTCTCCATTGAACTTTATATATACACACCATTATCAGCACCTCAAAAACTCAACAAAGGCAATTTATTTAAAGTAGAATCATTAAATAAAATGATTAAAACATAAACAAGCCTAATGGTTAATCTAATTTATGCATCATTTTAATCAATGCTCTTTCTCAGATTGACTCAAAAACAGGCGCCATCTGCTGGTTAAAAGTGTAATTATTTTCTATGCTTTTATTTTATTTTATAGGTTGTGTATTGTTATGGTATATAATATATCTGTATTCCACACATTTTCTGATCCTACTATCACTGCTTGCATGTGTGTGCGTGTTTTATATGTGGGTGTGTTTTAATAACCATGGTGATATGATATCACATGGACTTTGGACAAGGCATCACAGTAAATCTAAATATAGAATTCAGGAAATACACACATTTATATAAAATAAACATGTTTTCTTACCTGATGAGGATGTGTAGCATTTAATATCATATCTCTTCCTTTTTTTACTGTTATTTTCACCAGCCAACAAAATCATCTTTAAATACAGTATTGAAACATTTACAAGGTATTTTTATTTAAAAACAATGAGAATATTGTTCTCTCTATGTATGAATATCGCTGCTACTGTCATATTAACTATTACTGTAAGGATCATAAATGTTGCACCCCAGTCCCCAGACCATCCCGGTGTCCTGTGATAAATTGTAAGGGTCCTAAACGATGGCTCTTACACAAGCAGGACTTCTGTACTGTCAGAGAATGATTTCTAGATCTTTTCTTTCTGATCAAACCCACGTCACTTTCTTTATGATATTGTTAACTCAATATAAATGCCATGACAACACGAGCAGGAGTCCGTGACAGACGATTACTTTACGACTTGATTGCCCTCCTCGTGATGAGCTTCATTATGAGCTTATCTGTGATCAGCTCTCCCCACCTTACTCCAAACCTTTGCCATTAAGGAAAAACCTGGCTACTGGTTTCAGATCTGTGAAGCAAAGTGCAACCTATACAGCACCATTTATTACCCAACAACACCTCACCTCATCCCAAGTTCTCCCATTTCCCAGCCACAAAGCGTCAGGAATCAAAGGGTCTGCTTGACAAACAAATTCTGAGCCAAGGACTTTGAAAAAAGGACCACAGTTACAATGCCGTCAGTGGAGAAACTACTGCATTTCTTGTCAAGTTCTATAATATGTGCAGCTGGAGTGTGTATATTGGGTTATGGGATGTCGGCGGATTGGGCCTCAGCCGAAATGTCCTGCGCACCGAGCAAAAATGAAGCATTCAATGGATCCTCCAGTCTCGAAATTGGTCTTTTCAACGGCACAGAAAACAAAATCAACTGCCCCAGGATTTCCAAACTTGGAGAAATAGTGCCTGGTGAGCATCAAATAAGGCTTCAGTTGACTGTGTGCATGCTGATTTTTTTTTTCTCTTCTATTTTCAAGTGTAAACTTATGTCATATAAGATAAAAGCAATATAAACAAATTAAGCTCAAGTAAATGAGATTGATATATGTATATTTTACAAAAAAAAAATAATAAAAAAAAGCTTGCAGATTCAAAATTATGGACTAAGACGACCTTTGGAATTTTCGGGAATTAGAACTGCAATTCCATATAAATCACATGAGAATTTTAAACTAACTGGAGTTCGTCTTGTAAAAAATAATCCTGTAAAAAAATGGTAAACTACTGGCAGCTGTGGTTGCCATTATACCGTAAAAATACGGTGTGTTACTGTTTTACTGTTTTGAAATTAACAGCTAAATACCGTATTGTCAGCTACAGTATAAAACTTTAATTTAAAGGGATTTTACTCCACTTTTTTTTGGAAGTGGACTCATTTTACAACTCAAACAGTTGAGTTTTACCGTTTTCGAATCCATTCAGCGAATTTTCTGATATTGAGAAGAATATCAGTAACCAGACAGTTTCTGCTCTCATTGACTTCCATAGTAGGAAAAAAATATACTATGGAAGTCAATGAGACCAGAAACTGTCTGGTTACTGATATTCTTCTAAATATCAGAAAATCGGCTGAATGGATTCGAAAACAGTAAAACTCAACTGTTTAACTCCGGGGGAGTTGTAAAATGAGCCTATTTCCCAAAAAAAGTGCAGTTTCCCTTTAACAGCTGTATGCTCTGACACAAAAACAGTAACACAGGGTATAGTTCCAGTATGATGCTGGTAGTTTACCGTTTTTTTACAGGATTATTTTTTAAAAAAAATGTCAAATTCTACAATTTTAGAATTTTACAAATTCTATTTCAAATCAATGTTTAGTGCATTCTTATTCTCCAATAGAATAGTCTTTTTGTGTTTCTCTTAGTGTTTGATCGTCTGGGGAAAGAAGCAGGAGCTCCGGTTATTCTGCACGCACTGGTTGTGATCCTGTTGGCTCTGGCTCTTGTGGGGTCTTTAGGCAGTATTCTGGTCTCACTCTATAACAGCTTCAGTAACCCATATCAGACCTACATGGGACCGATAGGGGTATACACATGCAGTGGACTTAGTGGTGAGAAAACATACACACTATCACAAACCAAGAATTTGCTTGTATCTAGTGTAAATAATGCAGAATCAACTCTTCAATTGACGTTACAGTACTTTTAAAATGATTAAATGTCTAAAACAATTGGTTTACATGATACTTAAAGTGGTTTCAAGACCTGTATGTGTCTTTTCTCTTGTCTAGTATGTGTGGCCAGCTTGGCGCTGATTCTGTATGTGGCGAACACCTACGCTGGCCAGATGTTCGAGACGCTGGTGAGAGCTGGTGGTGCGCCCAATGTGGTGTTGAAAGATGTAAAAATTAACCTAAAGGTGGGGTTTTTCCTTCTGATACCGTACATCTGCTTCAATATGATCTCCATCCTCATGGTGTTTCTGTACGTCCACGCCGCATACACACGCCGCAAAGAGCAGGAGAAACCCACGGAGGATGCGCCCAAAGAGATCATGATGTACTAAAGCCGAAACACAGCAAAAAATCTGTTTCAAGACTCGTTCACACCAAAAACGATTACTATAACGTTAAGGAATAGTTCACTTTAAAAAAAAAAAAACTTTTGCTGATAATTTACTCACCGCCACGTCATCCAAGATGTCCACGTCTTTCATTCTTCAGTCGAAAAGAAATTAAGGATTTTGATGAAAACATTCCAGGATTTTCTCCATATAATGGACTTCAATGGGAACCAAACGGTTCAAGGTCCAAATGAGAGTTTCAGTGCATCTTCAAAGGGCTTTAAACGAGACCAGACGATGAATAAGGGTCTTGTCTAGCGAAACGATCGCTCATTTAAAAAATAAATAAAAAGGTTTAAGTTTTATAAGCACAAATGCTCGTCTTGCTTGACTGAATGACTGATTGAGTCATTTGGTTCATTCAACGAACAAAATGACTCGAAAAAAGATTCGTTCATTTTGATGACATGGAGGTAAGTAAATTATCAGCAAAAGTTTTTTTTAAAAGTGAACTAATCCTTTAACAATGCAGTTTTAAAAATCATCCTAAATAGTTGAGTCCACCACACCACTATAATGATAAAGGAACAATGACACGATTTGGGTGCAATCACAACGATTTTTAATCCAGCCGATGAACGATAAAAACAAGCTTGAGCATTTAAAACGGCAGAGGACAAACCTGCTGTAATAAACAGCATGCTATCATGATAGTGGTCGTTATAGTTATCATTCTTGATGTGGACGGGTCTTAACGGGAGATGATTTTCAGACCTGAGGTGAATTGAGCTCATTATTTTGGAACTGATGTGAACTGGCTGCAGAACTGAACTTATCTGTTTTAGCTATAGGCTATACATACACACTAAGCCCTAAAGTGTTTGTACTCTTAAATCACACTAAACATGTCATTAATGCAATAACAGAATCATCTTTTTGTGTTTAATACATTTGCTTTCACGTTTTATCCGATGCATGTTTGAGGTCTTAAGTGTTCAAATATTTGTATAGGCCACATGCATATATTTTATTGCACTTATGTTCAAGAACATTAACATCAAAAAACATTTATAAATGTAATTTACTTGTCTAGCTTTTCCAGTAAGAATCTAAAATACTTTGCATGATGTGTGACAACAAGAAAACATTGTTCAAATTTACTTCTATCAGTTCCTTTAGACTTTAAGCAATTTTAAAAAAAAGTTTTTCATATTTTATAGATGTGAATATATTTAGCGCTTATACTATTTATCTGCTCATGCATCAGATGTACTGTTGGACTTATGGTTTTAAACTGGCAATATTACAATTCTGTTGTATCATACTTTCATCAAATATTCTGTAAATATATTAACATATTTTAATAATGCCATATTACAATAATAAATCTTTTTAGAGTGATGAGTGAAGATATTGTGTTCAGTTTTTAGGCTAAAACACATGGTTCCACAGACTGGGTTTAGTTTAAGCCAGGATTAACATATTCAATTAGGGCATTTAAGCTTTTATAACTTTTTTATAGCTTTTTTAGCTTTTATAAACATGCCTTAGAGAAAAACATTACCGATGTGCATCTTGAGGACTAGAGTCTGGGACTAGAAACCAGGTATAATGTACTTTACTAATCAGAGACCCAATAATGCAAAATCAGTGCTCACTCAGATTAATTGTCTTTGTAAATGTCTCTGGCATTGAAAAACTGAGTCATAAAATCTAATGTCTTAGATTATGATATAAGAGATTATATCCATTTACAGGAATGTCAGGTCATTATGAGTTCCTGTGTGATGTCATTTCCCATAATCTGCATGAACCTTTGGTCCTTGGACTGTGCATTATGTGATAAGATGCAGGGG